CAGCAGCAACCAGCAAATAAACGAACCTGCAAACCAACAAATAAACGAACCCGCAAACCAACAAATAAACAAACCTGCAAACCAACAAATAACCAAATCTGCAAACCAGCAAATGAACGAACCTGCAAACAAATAAATAAACGAACTTGCAAACCAACAAATAAACAAACCTGCAAACAAACAAATGAACGAGTGAACAAGCAACGAACAAATAAACGCCCAGATATGCGGACAAACAAAAAATGAAGAACGAAAACAAGCGAGAAAACAAACCAACAGAGGTAAATATTAAAAAAGATAGTTGTACTTATGTTTTGTTGGCGTGTTTTCAGACATTTCATTCATGGGCATTGAAAGCGAGCGAGTGTTAATTTTTATCAACGCTTCTTTAACGGTGCAACCATCTTTAACAGTGCAACCATCTTCCTGCTTCAAATATCTTCACACATCCACTCATACACACACACACACACACACACACACACACACACACACACACGCCCTGGAAGTGTCAGAAGCACTTGAAAACAAATTGAAATACATAAATTAATAAATACATTATCAACAAATTTGCATGTTGTATATACGTTTGTGTTGGTTGTGTTGGTTGTGTGCATGTATGTGTGTTTCTATAGTTGTTTTTACGCGTGTCGTTGCATTCATTGGCCGCATACCTGACTACTGAATTGCTCGCAGAGATATGCGTCACGAAGGTACGTACGTGTCAACATACCAGACTCGCGCACACAAACACATTATGACACATTTTGTATGTATGTGAATGTGAACTTGTCCGTTTACAAAAATGCAATATTTTGTGTTCATACAAAAAAAAATTTAAAAAGATGCAGTGCAAGTAGTTTTTATGAGTTTTAATTCACATCATGCCATTCTTTATATGGAAGGTTCACGCGTTTAATATGCGTTCGCTATGTGTTTGCGTGTGTGCGGTGTGCGTGCACGTGTGCGTGCTTCTGTGTACGCCTAATTATGTCTACGTTTGTATGTACGCGAATATGTTTATTTACATCTGTGTGCGGGTGCACGTGTATGTTGTATGCGCCATAATGTAAATTGGATTTATGGCAAGTTCGATGGTGTTTATCATTCAATGAACTCTCATCACTACGTTTCTCTTGTTTTGTCCAGTTCATTACGTCGGATCACGAAAATATATTATTTATATATATAATTATATGAATATATATTATAACTTTATTGTTATATTATTTTAAGATATATTATAATTATATTATTATAATATTATATATATATATATATATATATTTACAATATTCTATAAATTCTAACGAATATTGTAAAAATTATGGTCTATTACAAACATATATATATTATATATATTTATATAATACTCAACATCATAGACTCAGTATGGTTTCAGTCACATAAATGGTTAAAAAATCCAATATTTAGGTATTATTCTAGACCGTCGTCTTTTAAAATTCATAAAATTTTATCTAGATATATTTCTATTAAAATATTGTCGAAAAGAATTAAAATAGAAAGTTTGAAGTATAAAATGCTTCATAAAATAAATTTTATTTATTTACAGCTGTTGGCTGTAAATAAATAAAAATGATCGTTAAGGCTATTATGTTAGCACACACAACTCGATGTACGCACGCACACGCACACACACACCGCACAAAAACCACATACACACGCGCGCACACATACATATATATGTATATGATTGATAACACGTACAACAGCAACGGTTTGTATGCAACAAATGATGATACAACTATTAAATACAATAACGTGCGAAACGAAAGCCCGTAAATAGCGCGTACACCTGCGGCTGAATCAATCTCCCATTGATGTTGATGGCGACCGATTCAAGTTTAAATAATTTTTAATTTAATTTTAATTGCACACGTTCATGGGGTACATTCAGGCACATCCACACAAAACCACACATACACTCAGTTTTCTACAAACACCTACACATTTTTATCAATTCAACTACTACCATTGGCAAAATTCACACGTTTACACATCATGCACTCGCACGTTGATAAACTTTTGTACACGTACACGTACAACAAACATGCACATACGTCAGTGACGAATTTTTTTATGTTAATAAACAAAGAACTTGGCGGCATTTTGTTGTCAGGCGTCAGAAAATCCAATGTCCTCACTTCATCATCACTTGTTTTGTTTTTGAAAAATTCCTGGAAGCTTGAGTTTTTTTTAGCATTAGAATCGTTGCATCCTTTCTTGATTCATTTGTTTAGTTTCGAGCCTGTTAATTTCAATGTTCTGTTAAAAACAAACCTTTCAATCTTATAAATCTTCATACAAAAATTGTATTAATAAATATTCACCACACCCCCTCTGTCGTAACTAAATTTTGTGAACCAACTAATTTCTAATTGCTTATTTTTTGCGACGAACCAAATTTTTCAAAATTGCATGCTTTACAATGTTTACAAGTTGTTGTTCAAGTTGTTGTCGTCGATGTTCAAGTAGAAGTAAATGTACGTGCGTCGGTGTTTGCGTGTTTGTGTGGATGCGTGTGTGAGTCCGCCAAGTATGCCTTCTTTAACATTTCTGTATGTAATCGTTTTTCGGCATGCTTATTTCAATCTGTGTGTCTGTGCAAAAAAGTGCATGTTTATTTGTATACATGCATGTGTATTTGTGCTTATGATTGTGTATCAAAGTGCACGAAGAGGGCATATGTGTATTTTTACACATAAGCACGTGCGCTAGTTTGCACGCGTGACAACCTAGCCGCCACGCAACCGCTATTTTACCGTTATTTTGAATTATTTCAAATCGACAGAGGCGAATGATAATAACTTTTTGCTTGCTTCCATTATGCAGATGAAGACAGCACATCAAGTTCGAAGCAATTTCTAATAAAATCTTCAGATAACAAACAAAACTGACCTTTTTGCATTTGCGTTGTGTGCATTTCATTTATTAAATGTTTTACACACACACACACACACACACACACACACACACACACACACACACACACATGCACTCAATTGAAAATATTTATTTAATCCGTTGTTGTAATTGCATAAGCGTTCGTTTCATTTCTATGCCCACCTCATACTTTCGTTTATGTTTTGTTCGAAGTTGTAATGCTTAGAACTGTCTCCCATTAGTGAGTGCATCAATTGATC